AAAAAAAAAAAAAAAAAAAAAAAAAAAAAAAAAAAGGAATGAATAAAACCAAAGCCAAAAAAAAAAGGAAAATATGTATTGGTGACAATATTTTATATATTTGTGTTAAGTAAAATATTGTAACTTTTTCACATGTTTCTTTTTCTTTGTAGCTACTATTCCCTTCGTTCTTGTTTCTTGAGATAAGGTTTCACTATGTTGCCCAGGTTTGGTTTGAATTTGAGGCAACCTCCTGCTTCACCCTCCCAAGTACTGGGATTACAGCCTTGCACCACCATGCCAGCTCTTACTATAAAGTTTAAAAGTGCGGATGTGACTCACATTCTATTTCTATTGGACAACAGTGTCTAGAGCATGGTCCGAAGCCTGGGTACTGTTGACGATTGGAGGCAGAAAATTCTTTGTTGTGAGGCTGTCTTGGACATTGTAGGATATTTTTCAGTGTCCCTGGAATCTACGGGGCAGAGAACAGTTCCTCTTTCACTTGTGTTTTTAATTTTGTTGAGTTGAGTTAGCGTCTTTCTGTGTGGCTCAGGTGGGCCTCAAATTTGTGATGCTCCTGCCTCAGCCTCCTGAGTGCTGGGATCTAGGAATGTGTCACTCCCCAGGGGGTTGCTCTCCCTGGGTTTTGATTAGCAGAGGTATCTCCAGGGGCTGCTGAGCTTTTCTTGGGTGGCAAGGAGACGGAAGCCACCCATTGACCCCAGCTCACAGGGGATTGGGAATGGTATGGTGATTGCAGGCTGTGGGACCAGGAGCAGAGTCCTGGAGGGGTGACCTGAGTTTTGCTTCAGTCCCTGCACCAGAGGCCCTAGGTGGTGTGTAAACCCAGAGGTCATTGTTTTGTAACTCTAGAGCTGGAAGACGCCTTAGAGCGCAGTGCTGGGTGCCTTGGTTACTCAGGGCCCCAGCAGCTGCACTGTTGTTCCCAGGGCTTGGTGTCACTGCGAATTTGTGGCATTCTTTAACCTGTGCTGTGCTATCTCTCCCCAGTCTGCCACCATCCCGCTGTTCATGAAGAACAAAGACGTTGCTGCGGAAGCGGTGAGTGCCTCATGCCTCAGCCTGTCCCCACTGTCCCCACTGTTCCTCCCAGTGAACTGGGGTGGGGGAGCAGACAGGAACCTTCTCTCCCCTTGGCAGGTCACCGGTAGTGGCAAAACCCTTGCCTTTGTGATTCCCATCCTGGAGATCCTTCTGAGAAGGGAAGAGAAGCTAAAGAAGAGTCAGGTGAGGGCGCGAACATGCTTTATTGTCACTTAGTGACCAGACGGTTCACAGCTCAGGAAGGAGCCACTCAAAACTGAAAAAGTAAAGTGCACTTGAGTCTCATTTTTGGATTCTGTGTTTTCACATTTGCCTGTGTGGTGAGCCAGGGACCTGGGCAGAGTACCCTTCATTTCCTTCCTGTACTGTAACGCATGTCCTTCTCATGGTCTGCTTAGTGCCCTGGTGTTCACGTCTCCGGGCTTTTTCTTGGTGATTTTGCTGTCAAAATGGCCCGTTTCTCGTATTGAAAGTGTGTTAGATGAGCTCCTGAATTCGGTGGTCACAGTCAGTAGTAAACAGTAGCTAGGACGCTGTAGATCAAACCTGCATAAAAGAGGGTGTTGCCTGACCCATGCAGATGCGCCCAGACCCTGAGCCTCCTATAGGAGCCCCCGCTTCTGTGTTCACTGACTCTGGGCTCACATGCGTGACAAGTGACCGGAATTCAAAGCAGCTGCTAAGTGCTGTGATCTGTGCTCTGTGAAAACCCAGGAAGTGCGATTTCCCTCGGCACTGGTCCTCCAGGAGCGGAGGGTGAGGGTTTGGGGGTCTCCACGCCCCACTGACCTCCCTCTTCCTGTGGCTAGGTAGGCGCCATAATCATCACCCCCACGCGAGAACTGGCTGTTCAGATTGATGAGGTACTGTCGCATTTCACGAAGCCCTTCCCGCAGTTCAGGTGAGTTGGGTGCTGGTCCCCGTCTGCCCCAGGCCATTGTCCTGCCTCACTCACTCAGAGTCCTCATCCTGTTTTAGTCAGATCCTTTGGATCGGAGGCAGGAACCCTGGAGAAGATGTGGAGAGGTTCAAGCGGCAAGGGTGAGCTTGCTTCTTTGGCTCCTTACTGGCTGTGCTGTGGGCCCGGCACCCCAGAGGTGTCTATGCAGATGGGCCTGACTGAAGGCGCCTCTCAGGGCTCATCCCCAGGGTGCGTCCCCCAGGCTGGCCTCCAGGGTGCTCTGCGGGCTCCTCCCGGGGGCCTGGTGCACACTTGCAGCTCCTCCTGTGGCTCGGGAACCTAGATCTGTCCCTGCAGCACTCTCTTTCTGCCTACAGCGCTCTGCCCTTCTCCTGGCTGTCCTTCTCCTCACTGGGATCCTGGCTTTCAGGGCTGTGAAACTTGATATTTTGGGAATCACCAGTGTTTCCAAGTTCCAGACCATGTGGCAGATGTTACCTTTCTTCCCAAAGAGGGAGCATCATTGTGGCCACCCCGGGCCGCCTAGAGGACATGTTCCGCAGGAAGGCAGAGGGCTTGGACCTGGCCAGCTGTGTGCGGAACCTGGACGTCCTGGTGCTGGACGAGGCAGACAGACTCCTGGACATGGGATTTGAGGCCAGGTACTGGAATTTGGGCTGCACTGGTGGCAGGTGGGTGGTGCTGGTAGAAAAAGCAAAGTGAATCTCTATTGCTTCAGGATGACTGGAATCTCAGAAGATTAGGTAGCTCATGCCTTCAGATTCTGTCATTTCCTTCCAGTTCTACCTGTGATCTTAAAATGTATTTTCCTTCAAGTTTTTGTTGTTTAATAAACAGCTTTTTTGGAGGATACAATTCATATACTGTATAATTGACCCATGAAGTCTATGGTACAGTGGGTTTAGTCTCAAAATGTCTCTTAGGTTCACATCCATTATGCTTGTTTGCTTATTTTGGAGATGCCTGGGAAAAATGAAAGTGTGAAGAAAATCAAATCACCTATAATTTCACTTCCAGTACCATCAACTGTAACTATTTTCTTGACTTCTCTTCCAGATTTTTTTTTTTGTTTTGTTTTCTGAGACAGGGTCTTGCTCAGTAGTTCAGGCTGGCCTGGAACTACCTAACCCAGACTGGTCTGAACCTGAAGCAATTCTCCTGCTTCAGCCTCCCAAGTGCTGGGATTACAGTTGTGTGCCATCATGCCTGGCACTTCCAATCTTTTAAAATATTTATTTAGCACTGTGTGTTGACTGCTGGTAGGCGAGGGATTAAGCACATGCTGTCTTTTCTCAGCATCAACACCATCCTGGCGTTTCTGCCGAAGCAAAGGAGAACGGGCCTTTTCTCGGCTACGCAGACGCAGGAGGTAGAGAACCTGGTGCGCGCTGGTCTCCGCAACCCCGTGCGGATCTCAGTGAAGGAGAAGGGCGTGGCAGCCAGCAGCACCCAGAAGACACCCTCACGGCTTCAGAACTACTACATGGTGGGCATCAGGACGGCACATGCTGTTGCAGTCTGCCTGGGTGCCATTAGGAAGGTGGATCTGTAAAGTACGAGCTGGTGGCACAGTGGAGATGTGTTGAGGGACAGAGCTGAGATGAGTGATCTGAATGACAGACGCGTGATGTCTCAGGACAGCGTCTGAACCCAGCCAGCTGTGTCACACGTGTGTGGGTGTGGTGGTTGGCACAGGTTGGGGGGGTGCCTGGAGCGTCAGATCGTGCTGTTGTCACTGGGGCACCACTTGGCAGACCATGCAGGAGACATGTGGGCTAGTGCTGTATTTCTGACCTGCAACCGAACACTAAACTGAAAATAGCTATGCAGATTGTTGATTTTTAAACAATGTTTTAAAATTCTCCTTTTCTTGTTGTAGGTATGTAAGGCAGATGAGAAGTTCAATCAGCTGGTACATTTTCTTCGGAATCACAAGCAGGAAAAACACCTGGTCTTTTTCAGGTAACCCTCTGTGCTCTAGTTAGGGGACTCACCCCCACCAGCGGTGTGCCGGGGTCGCAGTTCCAGGCTGCCAACTCCTGTGGTGCCGAGGGCAGGGCTTGTGTTTCTCCTGTGACCTGGCTTCAGCCACAGCTCTCAGTGTTAGTGCGTCTGCAGCATGCCTGGCCTCTCCCGGGTGCTATCTCTGTACCAGGTACCCAGGGCTACAGAGCGAGACCCTGTCTCAAAAAACCAAAAAGTTCTCAAAAATATTCCTGTTTTTCTCATGGAGAAGCGTGGGCGTGTCTGCGCGGAAGGCAGTGATGTGGAGCAAGGACCTGTGTCTGCCTTTTTGATAAGAAGGTGAAGGCTCTCAGGAGTTGCCCTGCCCTTGCTGTCTTCAGCTGAAGGAAGTGGTCTAGGGTCACCCAGGCTGCCCCAGGGGGTTCCCGTGGGCACAAAGCCAGCAAGAAGCACTGTGCACAGTTCTAGGGCTGGCTTGTTCCTCCTTTCATCTAAATAAAATAGACGTGTTGAGTTTTGGCAGTGTCAAATTTTATTTCCATCCATCACTCTGCCAATAAAATGTATGAGTGGCGTGGATCCTGACCTCAGGAAGAAGTAAAACCAGGTACACATGCCTGCGCTCACACAGATAAAAATAAAGGCCATAGAACTGCATTCTTCTACGGGGGATACATTCTTACGTTTTCTAGTCTGTCTGTGTAACTGCTTGCTGAGACCACTAAGTTAATTTCCGAGCCCTTCAGACTGCTTTTAAGAACTAGGTTGTCATTGAATATTGTCATTATGTACTGCACACGTGTACTTAGAAAGAAAGAAAAAGAAGTAAGGGTCGCGGCCCTCAGTGTGTAAAACATCACCTTCATGTATGTGCTTGAGCCCCATGGAGAACAGCAGAGAATAACGGGCTCTTGGCCCATTGTGAGGAATTTAAAACAGGAGCAGGATCTGGAGTCCCGCAGCCTGTGTGGTGGGAAGGACTCTGGAGGGGCTGGCCGGGCTCGCAGGTTTGCTGCTTGCTCAACGTTCCCTCCTGCTGAACTTTGCTTCCTTCAGCTGTAAAAGGACGGGTATTCCTCCATTCAAGTTTTAGGAACAGGTTGTGGGTTAAACCACTTTGGTACTTAACTGCCAAGCAGCCCAACCCTGGGTAAGCAGACAGCTTTGGCAGCGTTCTGGGGCCGTCTCCATAGGGCAGTCTGGACTACCCCGGCCCCCTTGTGTCCTGGGCAGTCACCCCAGGAGAGAGGGTCCATCTGCTCAAAGCAGGGAGAGTCACTGAGCTCTTGGGAATCCTGCTGATGGAGGAAGGAGCGGTTCTTCACGAGGAAAGCAGGAATGTGTGTGTGTGTGTGTGTGTGTGTTTTGCAAGGAAGAAGGTTTATTCATCCTGCCTCCCCTGGAAGCAGGAATGTTTTTTGAGAGCTTTCTGTTTTTCTGAGACAGGGTCATGCTGTGTAGCCAGGCTAGGCTTGAAGTCACAGGGATCTCTGTGTTGGGATTACGGGCTGCGCCCCTACACCGGCCCTTTGCTTGAACATCTTTAGGGGATGAGCTACATCCTGGGGTTTTGACTGGTGTGTGAGGGATGTTGCCAGAAGGCTGGCCTTCCATCAGCCGAGAGGATTTCCGTGCAGAGCTTAGTCGTGGATGTGTTTTCGGCCATTCCACCCCTCAATCTCCCACGAGGAAGATCTTTCACTGGCCCTCTGCCTTCATCTGCTGCTGGCCGCCCCTTTCCCAGCCAGGCCCTGAGCCCCTGTCCCCCCACAGCACCTGCGCCTGTGTGGAGTACTACGGGAAGGCCCTGGAGGCGCTGGTGAAGGGTGTGAGCATCATGTGCATTCACGGGAAGATGAAGCACAAGCGCAACAGGATCTTCATGGACTTCCGCAAACTGCAGAGGTGACCCCGGCTGCGCCGCTCTTCCCTGGGGCCCTCCTGGAGCTTCTGCCACCTCGCGCCCTGTTTCTGTGTTTTTCTCTATAGGAGTGAAGCCCCCATTCCCACCCAACACCCTGTGTGTTTGGCTGGGGCTGCCTCTGTCCCTGCAGGCCCCGTGAGGACAGGAGCGCCGTGGTCCCCTCGCACTCCCAGAACCGTGTGGGCCCGGCCAGCGGGGGCTTTGATCAGTCTGTTCCCTGATGAAACCACTTGTGATTGTGTGGCAGGGACTGGGGCTCCTGGTGACCAGAGCTTGGTTTTGTTTGTGTATAACCATTTTCTGTCAGTCCTGGTGCGGTCACACAGAAGCCCTCGAGGGCCCACTGACAGCCACTGCTGCTCAGATCGAATGTACCCCCCTTTCCCTGAGGTGCTGCCGAGGGGGTCGGGCCTGCCACCACTCAGTTTTGTTTTTCTGGTGGAAACACATGATGTAAAAAAAAACTTTTTCACTGTCTCCTCCCCTGCCCATTTATATCGATTGGGACCTTGTAAAGACCTAGAGATTCCTGGGGACAACACAAAACTGGAAATACTGCCATCAGTCAGATTTGTTTCCCAGAGAAACCGCGCCTCATCGAGGCAGGGACCTGGAAGGCCATGGAGGTGGCGTTCTCCTCAGAGTGCTCTCCTCTTGCAGCGGGATTTTGGTGTGCACGGACGTGATGGCCCGGGGCATCGACATCCCTGAAGTCAACTGGGTTCTGCAGTACGACCCTCCCAGCAGTGCGAGGTGGGTGCCGTAGGCGGAGTGGGCAGTCTGGGAAGGCAGACACCAGGAGTGTACAGATCATCTGAGTAGCAGACGGGCAAATGCCCCAGGGTGGGTGTGTCAGTAGCAGTGTTGTATCCCAGCAAGTAAAGTTCAAACAGGTGCTTAAATGAAAAGAAGTAAAGCCCCAGATGTGGGCGTTGTAGTGGTGGTCCCCAAAGTTCCTAATATATGCTTCCAAATGTGCGGAGTGCGCATGTGTACCACCCCTAGTGATAGGCATGGCCACTGCTAAGATTACTTTTCTTTTTGAGACAGCATCTCACTGTGAAGTTTGGATTGGTTTTGAACTCACTATGTATCCCAGGCTGGCCTCGAACTTGGCCAAAATCCTCCTGCCTCAGCCTCCCGAGTGCTGAGATCAGAGGTGTGTGCCACCATGCCTGTCCTTTTTATTTTCTTTGTACTTTTTATTTTTGTTTTTTGAGACAGTGTTCCACTATGTAAAGTAGGCTGGCCTTGAACTCATGGCAATCCTCCTGCCTCAGCCTCCTGAGTGCTGGCATTACAGCCATGAGCCACCACACCTGGCTATTTATACTCTTCATTGCTTCCCACATCTTTTGCTATAAACTTATCCTTCTTGTCTGATCAGACAGATACAGGTTTCACTTAAATATGACTTTGAGTTGGAAATAAACATCTCTCATGGGGTCCTGTCCGTCTCCAGTGCCTATTAATTGCCAGCTGTCCCATTTCTGGGGCATGGTGGGGGCATCACAGTCCCACAGGGCATTGCTCACCTTCTCCTGGGCCACGGCTCCCACCTGTGTCCCCACAGTGCCTTTGTGCATCGCTGCGGCCGCACAGCCCGCATTGGTCATGGCGGCAGTGCCCTGGTGTTTCTGTTGCCCATGGAGGAGGCCTACGTCACTTTCCTCAACATCAACCAGAAGGTGAGTGCTCCTCTGTGCATACCGACACCGCTTCTCCAGTGCGGGGAGCAGCCACTGCGAGGCCCCGGTGAGGGTCACCATGCGAAATTGCATTTTCTGATTTTATTTAAAGCACTTTGCCCACTAAGGAAAATGCTGGGGTTGGGCTTGGGCTGTTACGTCATGGTCTCCTGGGCTAAGGCCGCGCAGGCAGTGCTGGGGTGTGGCGCGGAGCCAGGGATGGTGGTGAGCGTGTGCCGTGTGCAGTGCCCGCTGCAGGAGACGCGGCACCAGGGGACCGCGGTGGACCTTTTGCCGAAGCTCAGGGCCATGGCCCTGGCTGACAGAGCCGTGTTTGAGAAGGGCATGAGGGCCTTCGTGTCCCACATCCAGGCCTACGCCAAGCATGAGTGCAACCTCATCTTCAGGCTGAAGGGTGAGTCGGACTTTTCCTCACACAGCTTCCTCTACCTGGTAGTGTCAGTGTGAAACTACTTCATCTTACTAAAACGCGTGCCACAAGTTAGAGTTGTGTGTGTGTGTGTGGCAGGAATCGAACTCAGGGCCTCACGCTTGCCAGTTAGGTGCTGTGCCACTGAGCTACATCCCAGGCCTCAATTGATGTTTTTTAAACGTTTTATGAGGACGGCTTCCTAGACTTTGGGTACACAGACTAAACTCGCTCCTATCTGCTGAGTGTGCCTTTTTATTTGGTAGGAATGGAATTAATGTTGCTCTTAAAAATGAATCCATTAAGTTAGTAAAGATTCTATTTCGGGGCTGGGGGTTTAGCTCAGTGGTTCCGCTGCCTGGCAAGGACCCGAGTTTGATCCCTGGTACCAAAAAGAAAAAAAAAAAAAGATTTTATTTGAAGGATCTTCCATTATTGATTCCTAAAACTATCTTTTGGGTGTGCTAACTTGCTAACTCTGCTATTTTGGTTTAATCAGATCTTGATTTTGCTAGTCTTGCTCGAGGTTTTGCCCTGCTGCGGATGCCCAGGATGCCAGAGCTGAAAGGCAAGCATTTTCCAGATTTTGTGCCTGTGGATGTTAACACAGACACGATTCCATTTAAAGACAAAGTCAGGGAGAAGCAGAGGCAGAAACTACTGGAGCAGCAAAGAAAAGAGAAGACAGAAAATGAAAGGAGAGGGAAATTCATAAAAAATAAAGCTTGGTCAAAGCAGAAGGCCAAAAAGGAAAGGAAGAAAAAAATGAATGAAAAAAGGAAGAGGGAAGAGGTAAACTTTACAGTTTTCCTTATTGCTTAAATTGAGAATGAGCTGGGTGTGGTGGCGCATGCCGGTGATCCCAGCATTTGGGAGGCTGAGGCAGGGGATCAGAGAGTTGGAGGCCAGCTTGGGCTACATAGCAAGACCCTGTCTTTTTTTT